ATCAGCGAACGACGTGGAATTATCAGTTTCGCTGCAAATACAGTACTTCGTAGGGACAGGATAATGACGAGGACCGCTTGCCGAGAGATACAATGGCCACCTTCGACACCTGTTGATTGGCGGAATGCGTTCTGACCATGACACTAGGCCAATAGGAGTGATTCCCATATGGTGACCTTGCTGGACAATGAATGAGGATCCGGACTGCAGAGGGCAGGCTGTGATGTCCGCACAAGTATTTGGTTGTTCCAAGAACATTTTAATACGCAAACCAGGCAGCTACATTACTCATGAGTCCTGCACTGTCGTCGGAGTGAGCGCCACATCGCTAGATGAAAAAGGCTATGAAACAGTAACAGAAAGAATCGCTCCGGCTGCATTTCAGCCGCACCAGAGACAAGAAAGGGAAACCTACACTATCAACAATACGAGTGCACCACCTCTCCCATGATCCGCACGCCCAGCAATACGCCCGCCACCCTGTCGTCTCCGCCCACTCCTTCCCGCCGCAGCCCATGCACCCGACGGACCGCCGCCCGCCGCTACCCATCGACATCAAGCCGGTCCAGAAGCCCACCGCCACCTACGAGCTGGATGACTCCCCGCCCATCGAGCCGCACATCGTCATGCAGATGGGCGGCATCCCGTACGCAGACCTGTGCAAGGAAAAGGCCCGTGAGGCCTTCAAGGAGATGAAGAAGAACGAGCACATGGCCAAGGGCGAGTTTGACCGCATGAAGCGCCGAAAGAAGGGTGATACCTCGATGACGCCGCGTGAGAAGTACACACGCCGTCTGAAGATGAACCAGGACTCGGCCGCCGCCGCACGCTACGCGCAGGAGGTGTACGTGCACATGTTGGAAAAGCTCGTGAGGACGACTGAGGAGGAGAAGAAGGGCTTCATCCTTCAGGTGCAGCAATTGCAGCAGGAGAACGCAAAGATCAAGGATAAGATGATGCAAATGTCCGCTCAACCACCTGTGGACGCTTTGTTTGAAGAATCGGAAAGAGAGCGAAGGGTGTACGACCCCGCCCAAATTAACAAGCTTCTAGATATGATGTACGAACGCGAAACTCCGTCGGCGCAGGATAATGATGCCAACTTTGCCGCAGGGAACATGGGCATCCCGCCAGCAAGAGCAGCATAGGACAGGACTAACCGGGACACGTTCAGGAAGCTTGATCATTCATCAAATTGTAAAAATGCCACTTCTCAACTTTGAATTCACTTGCCTTCATTTTTCCTCTACAGTGACTTTGGCTTGACGTCAACCTTTTGACGTTGACGTTAATTCACTTCCGCACCGTTTACCCGTGTTATCCATCTGCATCCATCCGCATCCACCTTGTGTCATTTTCTATAAATTTCGTATTCCCCCAAGTTACCATGTCGTGTTTACCGTACGTTGACCCAATACCGCCCTCTACATATGCTCAGTTCCGCAGCAGCAATGCACGACACACCTGTACATGCCCACTACGGTACATGTCACTACGTTGCAGACGCCTTGTACATTGCACCTCGTCCACTATGCCTCGGTGTGTTTGGACAGCACCCGCCGCTGCGCAAACGAAACGATCCCAAATCAAAACTATTGATTCGGGCGTGTTACGCGGGACGGCGGCGGCGGCGGCGGCGGCCTCAGCGCAACGGTCCTCGCGCAGGGCGGCGGCGGCGGCCTCAGCGCAGCGTTCCTCGCGCAGGGCAGAGGCGCGGT